CATGCCATACATATTTAATGAAATATAAGGCCGGCCATTTTTTTCTGATTATATGAAGCAATGGCCTACCATATATCATTATTATATGATACAGTGGCCTGCCAAATGTCATTATTATATAATCTAATGGCTGGCCACACATATATGATACATTAGATGATTTTGAGCATTTTTGGATCAGTTGGAAAAAAAAACTCTGTTACAAAAAAAAAAAATTAATTTTTGATCAAACTTTATGGCCTCAAATTATCTCCATACTTTTCTCACTTGAGTTGAAGTCTGAACAAACAAACCCAGCTGCCATGCTGTGACCCTGGACAGCAGGAATATGGGAACTCTGCTTTGCTCACTCCACACTGCTGGGAAAGCCTGAAGAAAGAGATAGAGTTTTTTTATTGTATTTATGGAGCCCATCCAAACACAGGTGTGGCAGAGCAGCTCTTTACTAACAATGAGTTGTTTTGATTTAAACTTTTATTTTTACGCTGGCTACATACAGGAATGAGAAGAATGATGTGACCTGTTGGTACTGATCCAGTACAGCTGAAAGTCTCTCGTTAAAAGCTAAATCTAAGTTAAAATTTGTTGAAATGAAATAATTAAGGAAAAATGCTCAAACTAACAGTTTTGGTGTAAGACATTTTTAAACGCTGAAATCATGTAAACAGATAAAAAATGTTCTTTTAAACTTAAATTATTTGAAGTGAAGTTCTGAGGATGGGGTATAAGCAATCATTATCTTATTCCATTGAAAATAAACTTAAAAATAACCAGTGGAGTTAAACAAAACATAATTTAATTTGTTTGTCTTTTAAACAATTGTAACCATGGGGTCTTGTGCTGCTTTGAATAAAAGGTTTTGACGATGTCCTCTGCATCCAAACCCTCAACATCCAACACCTGGACACCCTGGAGGGTGGATGAGGAGGGGATGGAGTCTGGAGAAGYGAGCCAGCAGCAGGATGAGGAGACTCTGGGTTCTCTGCTTTTTAATCTGTGATTTATTATAAAACAGACCAAACATTTTAAGATGTAACTCAGTCATTTAAATCAAATTCTAAAACAATCCAACACAGTCCAGATCAGCACATCAGTGCTTTATCTGCACAGGATGGGAGGCCCTGGAGATGTTGAGCAAGACAATGAGGACATTTTATTCACTACTGAGGACTCTTTCCACAGTTACACTGTTTCATTTTTAATATATTTTTATTGTATTAAGTCATATCAGCAGTTTAAACAGCTTTAAATAAGTGGAAAGATAAGTATAGCTGTAACTGTGTCAGAAACTTCACACACACACACACACACACACACACACACACACACA